CTGGGTGGAGAGAGGTGAGGGCTGAGTGCCTGGTCTTCACCTGTAGATGCCTAACTTCCTGGTGGGCTGTCACATCTCCTAGATGCCCAATGCTGATGCTGAGGCACTCACACTGAAAACAGGGTCTCAGAATAAGCACTTGGGGTATTTTATTTGGAGAATTTCCACTTTCCAACTTTGCATGTTTCTGAAGCTACTGAGCTCAAGCAGCGGTGGAATGAGGACACCTCTTTGCTTTAAGATCCATGGACGACAGAGTGACACGAATTCAGAAATAACTGTATTTAGCCATGGCGTCAACCAGATACTCTCATGACAGAATTTAGGAATGATGTGAAAATGTGCTGGAATCTCATCGACACATTCGCCAGGCAGTCTCAAGGTTGCATTGCCTGTTAGAAAGCTTGGGGCTCTCCCAATACAAGGGCATGTGGTTAACATTTGCATTGTCTGCCAGTTCCCTCTCTCACTCTCCTTCCCAGTATTCACTTCTCTTCTTCCACTGCAACTCCACTGTCTTACTCCAGTTCCCAGTCAATTCCTTTTGATAGCTCTGTTGTCATTTCCTTCTTTCCATTTTCCATAGTTACCCTTTGATCAAATGCCCCTCCCTTTGATATCTCCCTGCATGGATTAAGGTAAGTGTCTTGGCTAAGATTGCTTAAGCAACACTTATTTCCAACTCCCTGACCAATTCTGGCTTCATGAAGGCTATAGCTCCACCCTTAAGTGTGACGGATTATGTCTCAGGTCCAGGCAACTTGGTCTTCCCACTTCACCTTTCTAACCACTGTCATACCCATGTGTCACCTCTGCTGTTACTGATTTTTCCTTTAACTTGACCCACTTTTTAATTTAGAAGCATTGATTTAAATGTCCACCACTAAGTAATAACACTGAACTATTAGATTTGATATGCTAGCTATGTAAACTAAATTCCCATCTTTTGATATAAAAGTGTGTGTGAGTGTGTGTGTGTGTGTGTGTGTGTGTGTGTGTGTGTGTGCATGTGTGTGGGTGTGGGGGGGGTATGTTCCCAGGTGGAAGTGACCCAGATGTGACCTTTTCTAGCCTCCTTTCTGACTCAGAAACCCCTACATCCTCTCTGAGGAGTGGCACCCACACTGGGCCTGAACATGTCCTGTGTGGTGAGAGGCAGTGCTTCTCCTGCTTGGCTGGGCTCCTGCATAGGATGCTTTTTTCTTTGCCCTCAGACTACACACACACTTCCCTGGTGTCTGCCTTAGCTCCCAGCATCTCTGGCCTCTCTGAACATCTCTCCTTCTCTCCTCAATCCTCTCTGCTCTGAAAGGTGAAGAAGGAGGTTGTTGCTTGCCAGTTGGCAGGGGTCCTGCAGGTCTCTCACATCAGAAACGCCCGAGGGCTCCCATATATGGTAGGAGGGATGGAAAGACCTTGAACAACAAAGAGGAGAAGGGGCAGGAGAAAGTGGGATGCACAGAAAAGGGCAGTCATTCTGGTGTAGGAGTTGCTATCCTTGCTGTTGAGTTGCTGATATGCTGCCAACGCTGAGAACGTCTGAGCAGGAAGAACTGGAGAGCAGATTCCCCTTAGCTCTTAAAAGTAACCAAAGCTAGAAGCTTGCTCCTCTCCCAATTACATTACAAAGAAATAACTGGTTTCAATCTATTAGAAGTGAGTAAAGTGCCCAACACATGTCCCAGGTCCTCTCAGGATTGCCTTAAATCTATTTATTGTGCACTATTTCTACCAAGACGGAAGGAGCAAGCCAGAAACTTCCTCTAAATAGAACAGAACCTCACGTGCTTTACTAACCTCTTTAATCATCATTTCTTTAAGAAATGGAGTTCTGGGGACACGTCCACTCATCAGGACATACCAGTATCTCAAAGGAGGTGGGATAGCAGCTTGAAAAAGCATATTCAAAATTACTTCTAGCCAGGATGAATCCTGCTTCATAAATTCTTGAGTGCAGGAAATACTCCAATTTTTTCTCGCCCTTAAATCAACTTAAGGCCAACCATGAACCCTTGCTTTGCTGTCATAATGGGGTAGGGACCAGTTCACCACTGCCGCTCATGTACACACACCACCGAGCAGCAACATTCCAGAATTGCCATCTTATACAGAACAAAAAATTTCAGGAAGGTCTGCAAGGTCTGAGCTACCTTCTGGAAAAGAGGACAGAGAAATGTGCTGGGTAAACAAATATTTAAGCTAGATTTCCCATCAGCTAATTGTCTAATTGGAATGCCCCCCTCTCCCTGAAAAATCTTACTGGCACTATAATAGGAACAGTGGGAAAATGTATAATTTTTTTGGCTACTAGGGTGGCTTGAAAAGAGTGAGAGGAATAGTTTTCTAACCTAAATCTTAATTTTTTAAAATTGCTTTCAGAGAGGAAGGGGGAGAGAGAGAGATGGAAACATCTATGATGAACGAGAATCATTGACCGGCTGCCTCCTGCATGCCCCCTACTGGGAATCGTGCCCACAACCCCGGCATGTGCCCTTGACTGTAATGGAACCCTTTAGTCCGCAGGCCAATGCTCTATCCACTGAGCAAAACCAGCTAGGGCAGAATAGTTTTCTAAACCTAGAAACCAGAAAACTCAGGACTTGAAGTTACTGAAATAACTCCTTTCATCTATACCTCACTCAGATACCTGCAGGGGCTGTACCACTGAGCCTGGTGTTCTTTGCCCAAATATGATGAATTTGTGGGAAACAAAAGCTCTTAAAGGAACCAAAAAACTCAAAGGGATTTTTCTGGAGCTTTCCTTCCTCAACGGAATTTCTCTTTCCACCTTAGAGTGGATGTTGGTGTATTTTCCCTCTTTCAACTTTCTCTGCTCTTTCCATTTGCCTCATTCTTAGGGATTTTCCTTTATCCCCAACCAATACAGATCTACACATATCAGTTACTCTCACTAGTTATTCTATTTCTTTGTTTGTGAACTCTAACAGCTGTGCCTTCAGGCAGCTTCTACTTCCTACTATACAAAAATCTATGAAGCAAGGGAAAGATGCTAATTTGAAATCTCCATAGAACAGTTTCAATGAATAATTCAATTATTTATTAGGGTTAATGCAACAAATTATTGTCATTTTACAGAGAGGTGAACTAATAAATGATAACTAATATTATAATAATAAGCTTACATAACATCCACATTGTTCTCCCCTGGGGTATGTGTTGATGAAGATAGTTCTCTTTTAGGTGGATTTTTTTCTTTTTCTTTTTAAAATTTCTTCATCCTTTCTCTATTCCCTTTCATTTCACAAATTAAAAAAAAGCCCTGCTTTGGTCAGTATGCCCGGTGGGTTGAGTGTGGACCCGTGCACCAAGAGGTTGCCAGTTCAAATCCAAATCTGGGCACATGTGGGGTTGAGGGCTCAGTCCTCAGTGGGTAGCGATCAGGAGGTGGTTCAATCAATGTTTCTCTCTCTCATCAATGCTTCTCTGTCTCTCTCCCTCTCCCTTCCTCTCTCTCTAAATCAAAATTTAAAATAAGTAAGTAAATAAATAGATAAAGCCCTAAAGTTAATTCTGCCAGCTATCGTTCCTGCATGTGCTTATGCTACCCAGAGGCTACAATGGGGAGTGTGTAGACTGATGTGTCACTGGGTATCTATGGGTATGGATGAGGCCCAGCCTGCTCAGCCTCCGCCTGCCTTTCTATTTAAAATGGCATAAACAGAAAGTCTGGGGAAAAAAGACGTGCGAAGGAGTAAATCAAGCAACACAAAAAAGAAAGTTGGTTGTTCACTGGGTGCATAAAGAACATGTAAATCATTAATAAGTATTATTATGGAAAAGAGCTAACTTGCAGATTATAATAAATGTACTTGATGCAATTATAATAGAACTCAACTAAGTTCATCACTGATGGAGACTAATACTATGTCTCAAAATTGTAATTATTTGAAATTCAAAGGGAAGAAATTAAATAACCAGTGTCTTTCCCATTTTATAGTAAATGACATCAATTTGATCAGAAATGTGGTTTTATTTTTCTTTGTTATCTGGTCTATAAAACAAGTATGATTGCAGCAAAATTACTTGAGGTCACTTGTAATAAAAAGTATATGACTTAGAAAATACCCTCCATTCCTGCCAATTTATTTTAAATTGTGTTTATTCCGAGTTATTTTCATAAAATTGCTACTAATATCACAATGAAGGAGAATAACTAATTTTAGATCAATTTAGGTAAGTTTAATTATGATCCCCATAATGAGAAACACTATTCTAAAACCAGCTTAACAAAGTGGTACCACTTAACCAACAATTCGACATTTAACAAACAATTCTCAGTTAGGGAGCTGTTCTGGGGACATGAAGAAATAGGGGTTGAAGAAAATAGGGGTTTAATGCTCCAGTTGGCCCATTTTTGTTAGATATTTCTTGCTAAAATCATCCATGAAGGGGTGGAGGTAGAAAAATATAGAGGAAGAGAGAGGGAGAGAGGGAGGGATGGAGGGAGGGAAGGAGAGAGAGAGAGAGAGAGAGAGAGAGAGAGAGAGAGAGAGAGAGAGAGAGGAACTATTTTTCTAGGGATTTGTGATAAACAAATATATTTATAAGAAAACATCAGCCATGAAAATGTCTTTTAACCCTTCGTATCTACAGCTGTTGTCCTAAATAGTAAACTGAAAATACACATACCATACTGAAAACTTTAAATAGAATTTCTGTTTTTGTGTGTGTGTGTTTGTTTTTGGGGGTTTTGGGGGGCGGGGGATGGGGAGCGGGTCTTAATTTGACATGAGATGCCATCTTTGGAGGCGGGCGGTGTTTGCATTTATTCTGAGGTTGGTGAGGGCATTGATTCCACTCACTCACAGCGTGGGACGCTCTCAGGAGCAGCAGTCCTGCCGCATGCGAGCCTGAGGCTCTCCCAGGGCCCACGAAGAGGGAATGGACAGCACCCCACAGTAGAGAGATTCTCAGCAAACTTGTAAAAAGAATGACTCTGGGAGGAAACGTGGATGGCATGCACAGTAATGAATACTTACATAAATGTCTGCACCATAAAATCCATCCTGGTAAACAACACTGCAAGGGTGCACACACAAAGAGAAACATCCATATTAGTGCGTTTCCCCATGCAGACACACCACCCCCGCACTGGCGAAGTTAGTCTGGTCACGAGATCCAAAACACAGGAACTGAAGAGAGTTTCCACTTTGGTTAAGGAGGTTGGAGACAACAGGAGGCGGGCAGGCTGAGAAAATTAGGCTGGTTCAGGGTGGCCCACAATCAGGACCTGGTGGTGAGCATACCAGACTTCCCTCCCTCTCAGGAGGGGTGTAGAAGTGCAGGCAGGGCTGAGGTTTATTTCAAGAGGCCTAGACAGATACAAGAGTCGGAGTTCACAGTCAAACTGTATAGTCCCCCTGCCCCGGGGGGAAAATCATCCTCTTAAAATGCATGATTGATAAGGGTGGGGGGCCCAGATTGTTACATTCTCAATACGGTTATAGCTGGATGACCTTAGGGGAGCTGGACAATACAGATGATTCCAGAAATGTTCTTCTGTATTCTTTCACACGGTGCTATTATATCTGATAATTCCCTGTATGTGTGTGAAAAAATATGTGTGTGCTTGTGTGCATTTATTGGTATAAATGTATATATGTGAGTGCAAAATATGTATTTTGGGTGTGTGTGTGAATGCATATATGTGTGTTAGTGCATATATGCCAATTCATACATGTGCACACATGTGTTCATGTGTATACCTTGCCCATGTATGCATATGTACATGAATGTATATCACTTTTTTAATGTGTGTAGTAGTGTGCTGGCAATCTGCTTATGTGTACTCATACATGTACATGCACATGCATGTTTCTGTGTGGGCATGTTTGTGTAAATTATACCCAGACTAAGCAAAGCCCCACATTATGACTGAACAGCCTGGCCTTGAGCATCTCTCTGATCACTGTGCATATAGTCATCCCAGAGACAAGGGACCTCACAGGAAGGGGAGAACAAGAGATCCTGGAATTCTCTAGAAATTTCTTGGTATACCTTGAGTGAAACAGCCAGGAAAAGAAGCTCACAGCTCCACCATCATGGGAAACTGACTTAAAATTCCTAAGTATTAAAATGGGTTTAATGAGGTTCTTAGGCAGCTTGCACATTTCATAGGCTTCGTGAGGGTCACGGGATGACCTTGAATATAAAAACACGTGTTTCTACATGCATGTTTTCCGAAGGATGGTAGTGTAATTAATAACCTTCCCTAATATCTCCCCATGGAGTTTACACATGATTTATGAGTCTGGCAAAGGACCAATGAGCCCCGTCATTGAATGGAGCTGTGGTTTGAACAAAAGCACAACTTTGATTACCAAAGGTTTCCAGCAGGTTCGGTGGCAGGGTGGAACTGCAGGTAAGCCAAGCAAATTGAGCCAAAGGAGAGCACTTCACAACACACACCCACACGCACACACAGCAGTGACACTGGTTTGCTGGAGAACACTGTAGTGTGCTTCTCAGAGCTTTTCAGAGTTGACCGGAGAAACCCCAAGTACCATTATCCTTAAAAAGGAGGCAGGGATTTCACACGCTAAGGAGGTTGGTGAGAATCACTTTAAGCTGTTTTCATTTTGATCAAAAGGGCTACAGTTCACGAGAGCACTTGTCAAGCAGCACAAAACCCTAATCCCAGATGCTGAGGTGTGCGCATCCCGAGCTAGGCTTTGAATTCTCTGTCAGCGTTTCCAACAGAAGAAGATAGTGTTTGTTGAGGGTCAGAAGGCAGGGCCAGCCTCTGCCAACAGGACGCAGAACAGATCTGATGCAATAGGGGAGAGCAACCAATATTTAGTTTGGGCCCAGAACCACAGAGCGGATCATTTAGCCGTAGCAGAACAGCTTCTGTCCCATTCTTTCATGCCATCATGCCTTTGCACATGCTGTTCCTTGCGCTGGGAATGGCTTTTCTGCCAACATCCTCACCAAAAGCAGATACACCATTCAAGAGCCAAGTTAGACGGGGAACCACAATGGCACCTGGGTCAAATTTCAGCCTCGCCCATTGGACTAGTTACTCAAGTTACCTAAGCTTCAGTTACTCATCTGTAAAATGGGGAAAGAGGCACCTCAAGGGAGGAGCCAGTGAGATCTGGCTACAAAGAAATGGGTCACATGCTTGACATCACAGCTCTAATGGAACATCACCATTGCTATGACCTGTATCTAATGCTCACCCACAGCGGAGCTATTTCTCCCTCCCCTAAATGCCAACCTCACATTTTTTGCTCCTCACTCAGTAAAATAATTTTATATATTGGTCAAATATTAAATGTACTTGTGTATGGGCCTCATTCCACATTGAAGTTGCACCCAATTAGCTTACTCCACATTCTGTCCTGCTTATGGCTGAACATGTTGCTTTCTACCCAAGAGCTGTAAAATAAATACCTACTGACTGAGTATTGCCACATCTTAAAGGGGAGGTGACAGAAGATGGCACAGAGTAATTAATTGACTTAGCAACTCCAGGTTGACTTAGTGAATTAGGAAGAGACATCCTACAGCTTTAAGTTTGTTTCTGATCTGGTTACACAGCACCAATGACTGTTGCCAGTGGATGAGGAGAAGGTGAATAGGATTAAAAAACTGGACCCTGGCATAGGAGACCAGAGAAAGAGGCTGGACAGAATGTGATCCAGCTGTGAATATTAATGCCTTCATGTACAAACATGGGGAAGAATACTTTTTTCTAACTATCTGTAGAGGACCCAGTCTGTGTCTGCTCTTCTGAAAACACAGGCACCCCTCGGAGGGACTGCGGCTCGGTTCCAGACACTGCAACAAAGCGAGTGTCACTTAAAGAGGCATAATTGCTGTGTTGGGAAGTGTCTTCACTTCAACTTGTAAAAAAATGCAACATGTGTGAAATGCAATAAAGGGAGACGACAAGGCGAGGTCTGCCTGTGAGGGAGCGAGGCTGGACCTTGAGGTCTGTCCCAGTGGACACACAGTGTGGACCGGGTGTGAGTGGGGCTGAGCTCTGGCTGGGAAAGAGGCCCCTTCTTTCACCAGGACAGGTCCTTGTGCACTGGGGCAGGCTGTGTGCTTCCTGCCGAGCCTATTTGGGCCAACAGCTCCCAGAGTGAGGCAAGGCGGGCCCTGATGTTTGTTCAGGACGGTAACCTAGTCACCAGGCTTTGCCCTCCAACGTGGCCATGGAAAATGACTTGGGGACTCTGGCATCCTACGCTTATGAGACAGAGAACTAAAGAGAAAATGCGGCCTATCATCCTCATTCTGATAAGATCAAACAAACTAGGTCCCTGCTGTTGCTTCCTATATTCCAACCACTGTGCCAAGGCTCAGAGGGCAGAGAGAGTGAATCCACTGCTACACCCACCCTCAGAGAGCTCTCAGGGAGTGGGCACTCAGTCACAAAGCCACGTGCGTGAACGGCCAATGGCAGCTGTGATGGGTGCTGCGGAGAGGGACAATGGCACCCTGAAAGTGAAGTGGAAGGAGGGGGGCTAGCAACAGAGGGCAGGGAACCGGAGGAAATGCCACAGAAATCTCAAAGGCTGAGCCAGGTAGAGAGCAGGAACAGCAGGCCAGACATAGGGAACAGCCCAGCGTCTGGAGGGTGCGGGGCTCCTCAGAGGGCCTGGGAGAAAGGCATCTTTCAGTTTTGGGAGGCCCCGCAGGAAGTGGTGGCTTCACTGAGAAAGGAAATCGAGAATTCTAGCTGCTGTGATAAACCACACGGTGTAAGGATTGTTTGTTTTCACCAAGTGCAACACCTGCACGTTTTGGAGAGAAATGAATGAGAGGCTGGGTGATCTACCTTCATGAAAGCTCTAAAAAATGAGGAACCGAAATGGTTGTCCTCATTGGCAGTGTGAAATGAAGCCACTTTGGGGGCGTCAGTTTCACCAAAATGCTATGTGTGTTCCTCCTCTCCTCCCCCCGCCCCCCCACCCACTAAGCTATAGGTAATAGCCCCAGTACAAGTACTGTTAGTCTTTACATTGATTGAGCGATGGCTCTGTGTCAGCCTGTAAGCTAAGGGTGTTGTGCTCATTATCCCACTTAATTTCACAGCACCCCTTCGAGATGGACAATATTGTGGTCACCGTTTTGGGTCTAAAGAAACTGCAGAGGAGAGAGCTAGGTAGTGACTAAGCTGGGATTCCAGCCAGGTGGTCTTGGCTTCACAGCCCCAACTTTTAACGGCTCTGGCAAGCAGCAGCGGTCAAACTTCAGCGCACATCCAAACCACCTGGAGGGCCTGTTCCAACAGATGGCTGGGCCCCCACCCAGCCCAGAGGCCCTGAATCCATAGATATGAAGGGGGGTATGTGTCGAAGAATTTGCATTTTTAACAAGTAACAGGTGATGCTGTTGCTGGTCCAAAGACTAATAGACTCATTGCTCCATGAACCCCTCCCCCCCCAACCATGTGTTTACGTTTGAGGCAACACTGAAAATCAGCTTCCTAGGTCCTATCCTAAGTGGAAGCTGGTTATAGAAAGCTCTGACAAAGTCTCATGCTGGTTTCCATGAATACAGCCAAACACTTGTTTTGAAAGTCCTGTGAAACAGATGCAACGGATTTGCAGGGCAGGGAGAAGGGGTCAATGTCTAGTCTGCATCTATAGATAAATGAACCACAGTCCAGTCACAAGAGAAGGGAGTAGCCGTCATGCATTGAACCGGTGCAGCTGATATTATTGCAAAGATGGTCTGTCTAGCCATGCAAAGGTAATTGTATTGCTTGTCAATCACTTTGGCACTGCAGTGTGCTTTTGCAAGAACATAATGCAAATGCACATCTCATTTTCTTAGAAAGGTAATAACTAGTTAAATATTGGGATGAATGCAAGCAGGGAATGACTGCACTATAGCAAATTAGTTTATTTTTAAAAAGGAAAGAAAAAGAATAGGATGCCCGAAGTGTACAATGTGTTTGTGTAATATAATATAGTCTCCCCCACAAATACATTTTTGAAGAAAAGGTTATTTAACACTGCTCTTCCTTGTTGCTCCTTCCAAGTGAAATAAATTAAAATTTTAAA